CCAAATGTGAAGGCCTACGAGATTCTACAGCATGTTCTTTTGGCTACCATATAATTGACTTAACAAAACTTTACACGAGTCAACCCAAAAGACATTGATGTGACCAGTTCTAAATGACTATACATTTATATTATTGGACCGAACCACACGATACACTATCATTAGAGGGATTGCTCGATGAATTCTTTATCAAAATCAAGATTCAATGCTAATAAATTTATAATCATACACCGTGACCTCTGGTAACGTTCTCCTATGGAACCCGAAAAATTGCAAGGATTCTTGGTTTATGAATGAGTTTGTCTTCAACGAGGAGATACACAAGTAATCGATGCATCATCGATAGAACAAAGAGCAGACTTATCCATCGATGGACCTGCTTGATCATGCCTACTCCGAAAGAAAAATCCAGGTGGTTGAGGTACTGCGAGAGCTATAGAGCTAGTAGTGAGCATCTGGACGATTGCTGACATGGTTGGGCGATCTATAGCTTCTTCTTGAACACATAATAAAGCGATATGGATGCATCTACTGATTTCATTTCTTTGATAGTTATCTCGAAAGGACGGATCTACAAGCTCTAGTGGAGACCCATTGCTCCATAGCCTCCAAGTCTATATTTTAACCATTTTAGGATTTTAAAAACTTTTGTAATTGTTAAGTAAACCAAAATATATTTCAGATTTAAACTGTTTATACTCACATATGTAACCAATTTGCCGACACTACCATCCATATGGTAGAGGCTACTGTTCTTCTTGCCGCTTATAATCTCAAGAACTAAGACCCCAAAGCTATAGACATCTGATTTCATTGAGAATTGGCCATACATTGCATACTCTGGAGACATGTAACCACTGAAACAATACTTAAAAAGGTTGAGTTTCTAGAAACATAATACAGTTTTACATAGAAAAAGAAAAAACTTACTAGGTTCCAACTACTCTTCTTGTATTGGCTTCTGTTTGGTCAATTTCAAAAATTCTCACCATTCCAATATTTGCGCCTTTGGGGTTCATATCAGCGTCCAAGAGGATGTTACCCGCTTTGAGGTCACGACGTATGATTGTGAGTCGTGAATCTTGATGAAGATATAAAATTCCTCGAGCGATCCCCACGATAATGTTATACCGTTTTGTCCAGTCTAGCTGACTCTGCTTTCTAGAGTCTGCACATCCGTAGTTACAATGTCATTGTCAAGAACATAAATTCAAAAATGAAAACTTTTTGGGCTAAGTATTGGATTTAACTTTACCAAACAAGAAGTAATCAAGGCTTTTGTTAGGCACAAACTCATAGACAAGTATTTTCTCTTCTTTTTCCAAACAAAATCCTAGAAGCCTGACCAGATTTCTATGCTGAAGCTTTGCCACAACAATGAACTCTGTTTCACCTTGTCCTGATGTTTTCGATAGTCTCTTTACTGCAACTTGTAATCCATTAGGAAGTGTACCCTAAAAAGATTGTGAATAAAACAGAGTTAACACCTGATTTGAATCCGTTTAGCAACTAATTAGGAAGCTCAATGAAACTCGTAATACCTTGTAAACTTGTCCGAATCTGACCGATTTTGTTACATAGAGAAAACTTATCTGTCGCAGCTTCAACAACTTTATAATCAAATTGTAGTGAGCCTGCAATTGTCATCTCATCCCTATCTGCCAAAAATGAAAAGTTTTAAAGCTTTAAGTAGCACATTCTAAAATTTTGGAATCTTTACCATCATTTGCAGGTGTTTTATCATAAGTCCTCTTCACTCTCTTTGCTACACAGAAGCTACAAACAGCAACAAAAAGAAGAAAAGAAACCGAGACCGGCACAACAATTGCTATGATTATCACTGTGGAATTTCCTCCTTTTCCTGCCAAAGAGTTACAACAGACATGACACATGATCTCCCAAATCTTGATAGTCTCAACCCAAAAAAATCTACCACAAGATTTATAAAACACAAATTGAAATTCCAAAAGTCACGTAAATCAAGGATGAAGATACACAGAGAGAGAGAGAGCTTCTACCAGGAGGCAATGGAGTAGGTGAAACCGGCGGAGGAAGAACACTTGTCACTACGGTTTCATTGTAGAAAGGATAAACCTCGTACCTCGAGTTACATATAGAAATCTTCCTCCAACGCTGTTAAAATTCAATCTACTGATGGATTGTTGCAAACAGCTTAAACACTCTTAACTTGAAAAGTCAGGAATACACTGAACAGATGCATAAAGGTTGTTCCTGTTGCAGAAAGTTTAAAGAGAAGAGGCTTTAAGGCTGGAGGGCACC